CTTCACTTTCAAATCGCCTCATGCCCTGGCACCTCCTATCTGCTCACATTCCACTCCTTTACCTGACACCTTTGCTTAGCTGGCTCGGGTCTTCTGCACATCCCTTGTTCCCTCTGCTCCACCATTGACAGCTGTGCTTTCAGCCACTATCCCCCAGTCTCTGGAACACCCTGTCTCAATCCCTCTATCTTAACCCCTCTTTGCCCATCTTCATATCACACCTGAAGATTTTCCTCTTCGACCAGGCCTTCGGTCACCTTTTCTTTCTTTCCACTTGGTGTCAAACCCCACTGTTGTTAAGTGCTCTCAGATACTACCAGTGTGAAGAACCCTATATAAATGTAAATTGTTGCTGTTGAATCTTGATGATTTATTCATCATAGGCTTCACCGTGATTGAAAGTCAGCAAATAGATATTGCCTCAGTATCTCAGTTGAATAAATTCGAAGAATGTAACACATGTATTCTTTATTTAGGCAGTTAAAATGTGATCATCTGCCAACTTATTGTTATCAAGAAAACATGCATTTTTATAGCGCCTTATTGTAATTCGCAAAACTGCTTCACAAGATGTTACAATCCAACAGTCTGTTCAAATGACAAGGGCGGCAGAGGGCAGTAATTTCAATACATCTGAATTTGACTTGCAAAAAAACTATTAATCTAGTTGTAGGCAATCGCAGTGGCCCTTTATGCCAAAAAGGTCTCGCAAGCAGCCGTGAGGTAAATGACGAATTAATGTGTGATATGCGACTGGTGAATTCAATGTTGTATGGTGAGATACCACATCCTATTAGTAAGTAATGTTAAGTAGTGAAGCGTAAATGCCATCACTGTGTGTATTACTATGTTTGTAATTTGTTCCAGTGTTCAGATCAGATACTTGGTTTGGCACCTAATTAGTGCTCTGTTGCTCATGAGCGATTTGCTTCAAATAGCAGCAGTGTCTACTATATCCCCTACCCACAGTGTGACATTCAGACTTAGTTATAATCTGCTTAGTCTCTTTTTCAAATGCCAGGCGCTGGTGTGCAGGATACTTCTTCATAGAGGATTTGTTTCTGTAACAGCACTGAGGCTTTCCGAGCATGTTGAACATATTTATTGCTCTTTCAGTAAAACAACAGATCGATAAGCAGACAGTGAGGGGGCAGGCGGGGGAGAAGGCGAATAGCTCCTGAAATCATCCTCTTGTATTTTCAGCTTTGTGTATCTGCAGCACCTTCCTTTTTTTTATTTGTGTGTTTTTTTTATCTGGCAAGGTGCAATTTATATACTTTTCATGCTGTTCAAATGACATGGGCAGCAGAGGGCAAATAATTTCAATACATCTGAATTTGACTTGCAAAAACTATTAGCCTTACGCAGGGCTGAGCGGCGCTTTTACTGGAAATTACACGTCACCACTGGGGTGCAGTTTACACTCGGCTCCAGCAATGTGTGGCTCTCGTCACAGAAGACAAATTGTTCCTAGATTTTTGCCGATCAGACCCTTGCAAATCCTGTCCCAACTGTGAGACATGGGAGCTGTAACATTACCAGCTAGCTATGTGCACTGTGGTGTTTTACTGCATATGGCATACTAGTGCGTGACTAGAAGCTTTGAGAGCAGGGAAGAAAGTTCTGTATTCCCCTCTGTTATTATTTTGTCATTCTGTGCACCACTCTTGGATGATTCATTGTGTAGAACGGCGCAGTGCAGACCTCTCGGGAGATTTGAGCCCTGAGGTTGTGTCATCACTGTGGTGTTGCGTATTCCAGATTCGTTAGTTGGGTTTGACAGGGGATATAGCCACCTTGTGGACGAACTGACTTAAGGCAAGCACACTCTTTCTCAGTTTCATTCATTTGATCTACATTGAATCCTGTCCCCAAAACAAAATTGCCGTAACCTCTTTTCAACCTATACAGACCCTGTTAGAATTATTTGTTGTTATTACAATTAAAATACTTCATTCAATGATAATCAATAATCCTTCCCCCTCCTCGGCTCCCTCTCTCCCTCCCACCCAATCTCAGATGCACAATCAACTGTATGAAGCGCTTTGAAACGTCTTTGTAATGTGAACAGCACTTTATAAATTTATACTGCTGATCTTTTTCCCCATCCCTCTCTAGTCCACCTTGGACCCCACCATGGTCTACACCGCACAGCCAGACACATTAAAGCTAATCAGTTCAGTCTCTAGTCCTCAAGCAAACACAGCAACAATCTGGTGCAATAGTGGGCTATACTTGACGTTTACATTAGAGGAGGAATGTTCAAAGTTGGGATCTTTGTTTCATAAATAGGATTACTATACGTCATAGATTCATAGAATGTTACGGCACAGAAGGAGGCCATTCGGCCCATCGAGTCTGTGCCGGCTCTTTGACAGAGCAAGTCACTTTCACTAACCCCAATCACCAGCTTTCTCCCCATAACCCTGCAAACCCGTCTTCCCCAGATACCTATCCAGTTCTCTCTTAAAAGCTAGCAATTAGCTGTGAACTTGCAAGCAATTAGCTGTGAAGTCCTGTGAGAATTTTGAAGTTTTCACATAAGGGGGACTATTGAATGTAAGGATTGTTTTTGGGTAGCAGATGCAGTAATTTTTATTGCAAGTATAATTGCACGTTTTAAATACACTTCTATTAGCCAAAATTAACCAGAGCCTGTTAATGCCACTCAGACCAAGTCACAAGACAAAGACCCCACATGCATAAAATATGGATCTAATGCTAACAAAATACATAGCCATACATTAATGAATGCCTGTATATTTAAACACCTGCAAGCACTAATAAATTACACATTGGGCTCTCTAGTCTCTGCCAGAAGGAGTGAGTGATAAGTTCTACTTTCCACTTTGTACTTTGTGTTCTTGGTCACGTCATACACATGAAAGACTCCTTTACAAATTGTGGCTACTGGGTTTCAAGGCCAAGACATGGATTCAACATTGTCTGAAGGGGGCAGTGTGTGTTAAGGAATCGCATTCAAAACGGCAGGGCGGTATTAAGCAGGGTGCCCCAAGGGTTTGTACTGGGACATCTATTTCTACTATACAATAATAATTTGGATTTGCCTTCTCATTGTAAGGTAGTTAAATTACCAATGGCACCAAGTTGGGAGGAACTGTGGAATCAGAGGAGGCAGCAAAGGTCTTACAATGAGTTCCCCCCCTTCAATAATATTTACATGGAATAATGCAAAGTTGATGGCAAATCTGGTTTATCACATTATTATTAAATTACAAAGAACTTGTTGAGGTATGCACATAGGTTGATGTCTAGAAAATGAAATTCAATACAAACAAATGGAAGGTACTACAGGGTGACAAAAAAGTTGTGATACCATTGCAATGTCTAATAAGTCTTAAAGAAATGAGGAGATAATAGGTTAGTTATCATAACTTTTTGGTCATCATGTACATATAGGAAATACAAATTGGTGGCATAAGTCCCATGGATGGGATAGAACTGGGATAGAGATGCAGGAACTTTAATTGACTCATCACTCACTACATCAAAACAAAGTGAGGCAGCAATCCACAAGGCAAACAGAATACTCTGCCGCCCACATTCTCACCTGCACGAAACTCCGCTCCCCGATCACCCCAGTCTTTGCCAGACTACACTGGCTGCCTGTCCCAGAGAGGATTGATTTCAAGATCCTCACCCTCGTATTCAAGTCCCTGCACTCCTCTGCATCCCCCTACCTCTCTGACCTCCTCTCTCCTCAGCACAGTACCCGCTGCCTTCGTTCCTCCGGGACTGGCTTCCTCCTTGTCCCCCGAGTCCTCCGCTCCACCCACGGCAGCCGTGCCTTCAGCCACTATGCCCTGAGGCTTTGGAACTGCCTTCCTCACTCCCTTCGCCTCGCTCCCTCCCTTCCTATTTTCAGGTCTCTGCTGAAGACCTTTCTTTTCGACCGCGCCTTTGGTCACCTTTCCACCCCTCCCCCTGGCTCGATCCCGGGATCCTCAACTGTAAAACGCTCTGAGACGCCGTCCAGCGTGGAGGTCGCTATATAAATCCAAGTTGTTGTTGTTGTTGTTGCTAGACTATATAACCCAATCTGTTGAGTTCAGCTCACCAGACGTCATACTTGAGCTGCAACGTGCTCTGGACAGGCCACACCTGGCTATTTAGTGAAATATGCAAAGGAAATTCTGACTCTTAAAGAGTATAAAACGTACAAATACAACATCGATGATGTTGAAATTCAAAGTGGTTTCACTTGATCTGTTGTCGCCATAATTTTAGTGTTTCAATCCTTTTAGAATATCCTGGCTCCAAACCAAACTGTAATGCTTTCGCCCACTTGAGAACAGTGCTACTTTAAAGAGTGTAGCAGCTGGTAAACATTGCCCTGTATTAAGGGATATAGGACAAGGGCGGGTAATTGGACTTAAGGTAAAGATCAGCCATGATCTTATAGAACAGCGGAACAAGCTCGAGGGGCTGAATGACCTACTCCTGTTTCTAAGTTTCTATTTGTTATCAACTTTCCATCATTCCATGTAAATATTATTGAAATAGTGAACTTGGAAAACTATTCTATACTTACCCGAGCCCCTTCACCCCCTCCCTCCTTCCTCCCTCCTCTCTACCCCCAAACCCTCCCCCCTCTGCATCTCTCTCAAGACCTTTCTCTTTGAATGAGCCTTCAGCTCCTCTCTCGACTCTCTACCCCCTCCTCGCTCCCTCCCTTCCCTCCCCTCACCCTGACCATTTCCCCCCTCCTCGCTCCCTCCCTTCCCTCCCCTCACCCTGACCATTTCCCCCCTCCTCGCTCCCTCCTTTCCCTCACCCTGACCATTTCCCCCCTGCTCGGGTCCTGATCCAACTGTACAGCGCCTTGGGATGTCCTCCCGACGTGAAAGGCGTTCTATAATGGAATCTTGTTGTCGTTGTTACATTGGTAACCTCACCATTTGTAACCTCCTGATTTAGTATCAACTATAGGAGGACATAGTGCTTTCTGGCATCTGTAATGAAATGCTTTCCATTGACAGGTGGTACTTTGGTAAACTTGGTCGCAAAGAAGCTGAGAGACAGCTCTTGTCTGTCTGTAACCTGAGGGGGACCTTCCTCATCCGTGAAAGTGAAACTACCAAAGGTGAGGGTCAGCTGGTACTTTCTCAAATCAAAAGTGAACATCTACACACATGCACACATATATAAAGCACACACACACACATACAAATAGCGGACACAAGAAGGGGGAAAGGTTTCAGTTTACAAGGTTATTCGCAATTTTTTTAATATAGGAAAACAATATTCGATTGCAATAAGGTTGTGTTGCTCTTAATTGTGGGAGTCTGACAAATCAAAAGTGATGAGCAGACCTGTTGTGCTGTAATTTTGACCAGATCAAATTAGAAGAGCACACAAGGTTGGATCTCTAGGGTTTGACATCCTGGTCACTCTCGTCGCATGGGAGAGACTTAACTAACCATTGAGAGAAGTTGAGATAAGAAACCAGTGAGTGGCTTGATGTGTGGTACAGAGAGGTTCAAAGCAATGTCCTAAATAATGGCATAAGTGTTCCTTGTCCACAGGTGCCTATTCTTTGTCCATACGTGACTGGGATGATACGAAAGGCGAGCATGTTAAACACTATAAGATCCGCAAACTGGATAATGGTGGGTATTACATTACGACTCGGGCACAGTTCGAGACACTCCAGCAGCTGGTTCAACATTATGCAGGTAAATTGACCGATTCCTTATCATAGCTCTCAAGCTTTACGTTGAAAGAGTGTTGTGGGGGACTAAGGGAGCCCTTTCTATAAAGAAGCCCTTGCTGGGGAATTTATGACAAAATGTGGTCACTTTTTATTTTCAGAAATAAGTTAAATTAACACTAAAGTAGGCTTAGCCTGATTAAATCTTTTAAAACGTATGTAAAGAGGTTATAGTTATTATCAGTTTCGGAGGTATGGGGAGTGTGTGGCGTGTATCCTGCAAAATTGGTGATAAGAAAACTATATCTTATACAAGAATGTAAGTCGTGATGTGAACAGCTGTTTATCCGGTGCTTGGACGCTGATGTGGGTTTACCTTCTGACTGTAACATGCCTTCTATCTTTCTGCTTTGGTTGCCATTCCTTAAACAGAGGTGAAAGGGTCTTTTTTCAACCTTTCACCTGCAATCTGTCAAAGCTGTGTTTGCATTTTGACCGTAATTTTTTCAAGCTTTCTGGAATATTCTGAAAGAAAACCCAATGTACCAGCGATTTTTATAGATAGAGTGGTTTTCTTTCCTGCTTAGCTATCTGGTTCAGCTGAGCTGACAAAGGGGATTTCTGCACAGCCTCTGTGGCCCCTTCATCACCCAGAAGGGGGTGAGCTTCGCTGGCTTGCGACAATAGTCATTCTCTTCCCACCCTTCCCTTCTCGTGCACAATAACTAGTTTGTGGTCCGGTGTCCTATCCAGTGATCTGACAGAACAGCTTAAGTTTGTCTGATGAGGACTGGTGAGTTTAATATCATGATGGACTGGCATTCAAAATCAGATCCCTCTGTAGGAAGAGCTACACGATTATTTATTTCTCCTTTTCTTTCCCCCCTATGCTCATATACGTATACAGTAGCTTAGAGCTGCACTGGAGTGCTGCTCTTCAGGATTTTCTGATGTGGAAGAGCCTAGTCACTGCTTCAGTTCAGTGTGTTATTGATCTGCTTTTCTCTGACACAGCACAGTTGTCATATCACTGTTTGTTTTGATGTTGACGTTTAATCTGACATGGAAAAAAAACCTCAATAGGTCTGTACGGGACTGACACATCGGTGTTGCACATGATGAGATTGTGATGCTGCCCAGCTTATAAATATATTACTGTATTAATTGCAGTACCATGCAAAATTCTGTGGTTTGTGGGGAAAATGCTACAATACTGAGAAGATTTCATGCCTTTTACAAAAGGTTACTTTTCAATTTTATATTTGGAGAACCATTTTTTTTAAAAAGTCTGTTTTTGCATTGCTTTGGTTTTCTGTCCAATTATATCAGCTCAACCATTAATAAATTGCTTCCTTACCAAACAGAACATGGTGAATTATACTACTGGGACCCAGTCAAATTGGTTGAAGTTTCTACAAGATACTCCTATACTCCTTGTAAATTAATTCAAATTGTTTAAAAGGACCATCCTAATTTTTATGGTGATGTGTTGGTCAATTGTATCCAATTTCATTGGATGAGTTAAATAGCCAGTGGGTCTCAGTAAACCCAACAGCTAAAGTGCTATTAGATGCAGTGAAAGTATCCTACAGGTGCTTGCAGTGATTTATCTCAATGCGTTTTGCTCTTGCAAATGTGCAAAGTCTGTATGATCTTTTTGCCTATGTCTCCGTGTTCCTATGTGCCTTTTGTACCATCTATTCTGCTGCCCTGTAGAGCGAGCTGCTGGTCTCTGCTGTCGCTTGGTGGTCCCATGCCATAAGGGTATGCCGAGGCTTGCTGATCTTTCTGTGAAAACCAAAGACGTATGGGAAATTCCCCGGGAATCTCTGCAGTTAATCAAGAGGCTTGGAAATGGGCAGTTTGGGGAAGTCTGGATGGGTATGAAATTGAAAAATCTCTGTGATGTCTGCCGACAATGGGGCAGACACGAGGAGGGATGGACAGTGAAAGGAGCTCAGTGGAGTTGAGTGTAAATACGCTCAGCCCTAATGGTGGCTGACAAAGTAAACCCCCAAATAATTTGTACTTTTGGAAATTCCATTGAGTTTGAAAGGTGCTTGTTGGAAAAACAGCAGAGCAAAAGGTGCTTCTCACCATAAATCACCTCAGAAGATCTCCTGCGTCTCATGCAAGGAACTCTTGGTACATCACACCAACCTGTGAGAACTCAGCTCTGAGTATGGTTTCTCCACACGCACGATTCAAACCACTATGTCTCTCAGTCCTCTGCTGGTTGTTGACTCCACTTCAGCCAGAAGGAAAGATCTTCTCAAATGTTTCACAGCATTTTAAAAAATAAAGAAGTCATTGGGTAAAAAGTACATACTTAATGCAATTTTTTTTAAACAAATTAAAGCTCCACAGTGTTCACTTCAGCTTCCATCCCTCCTGATTGCATGCGCTTCACTGGATTTTAAATCCTGTTCCCATTGCATCTATTCTCTATAGAGTCAGCTGACGGTTTGTGCCATAACTTAACAATGGTTTGTACAAACATGACACCACAAACTATTGGATTAGCTAAAGATTCATGGGAAATTGTACGGGAGTCCCTACACTTGGAAAAAAAGCTTGGGCAGGGATGTTTCGCCGACGTTTGGTATGGTAAGGTGGTCCAAAAGCTTTATCCATTTTAAAGACTTTAGTTTTTTTTAAATTCTTCAAGCAATGAAATGTGAGGGGCAGTCTAGCCTTGGAGAAGGTAATGTATTAAGTATTCGGAGGTGATGGCTTTGGCTAACAATTGATCTTTAATGTGGAACACATTGTGCTAGTGTATCGGAACCTGTAGGAAATGTTGTTCCAGATCAGGGAAAGGTTACCCCAGAATGGATGTCCTCTTCCTTTAATGAACATTGGAGTCAGACATCTGGTGCCAAATCAATGCTGGCATAGACCAAACTCCGCCTGGTTGCACCAATTCTGACTGTGGGAGGTTTAATGTGGAACATCTCTGCATCATATACACCTCTCCCTCCTTTCTTTTCTAATCCTGTCCCTTTCCATCAACCCTGCATCTTGTGGAAAACATATTTGGCAACAACTGAAAAATTCTGTAGCCTTGAGGCTTTGTTTTAGCAAAGGTCTGTAGTCATGTGTATAACTGAAAATGTGGGCAGCATTTTAATCATTGTGATTGAAATAGTAGATTGCAATGAATCCACGTGGTTTGGAGCCTTTTATGAGGTTAGTTTTACGCTGATGAGAGAGGATGATGAATTCTGCCCTTTGCATAGAAATAGGTGAAAAGAGAAATTGTTCACTGGTCAGTAACATTTATGTCATTGCCATCATCAAGCATTGGCTGGCCCATCATTTTTCTCACCACTTCTATGCACCACAAGTTTCAATACTTTTGTAGACATATGTTTGGACATCTCAGCTGACGTATAGAGGCTTGTAGGTGCATGGCATTAATTGAAGGAATTGAAATATAATATTATAACAGTAATTAAGAAATATAAGAGTAACAGCACGCTGTTGTGATCAATTGCATATTCGAGTTGTATTTGGGATTTGTTTCAACCCCACACTTCTCCATCTTTTGAAAGATTTGGAACGAGTTTAAAAGAAATTTAGCAGCGTATGACGCTGCTAAATAGCCTCTGGCTATTTCTGGTTGCAGTTCCCAACCACCATCGCTGCACACAGCTGAATGTCAGAACAGTAGGTCCTTTGATCCAGTAGGACATGCTAAAATGTGGTTAATAAAGTTATAACATACAAACCATCTAACGTACAATTGTGTCAAAAAAAAGTAAGACCACGAGGAGACTACAAATGATTTATTCTCTTTCCCTTCAATTTTCTCCTGTTTCTCTCCTAAAGACACTGATTTACATTAAGTACAGTTCCACAGGTTAGGACATCCTCATTCTTTCAATCTCACCTTTAGGTCTGAGCCTAGACAGTGAGTGATCACAGGGGAACCTCCGTGGGCCTTTGCACTTGAGCAGAGGTCATTGGACTGTGATCCAGCAGCAGGAGTCCTGTCATTTTATTCTCTTCCACCCCCCCACCCAGGAGCACTGAAGCCAATTGTACCAAAATACCTGTAACCCAGCTGAGATCAGCTAACTCTATGCAGACTGCTGATCAAAAAATACGATTGCAGGTACTGAAAATAAAACTCAGATATCCCTTGGTTGTGTTTTCTGCCCATGTCATCTTCTTGAAGTTAACACATCCATTTGAGCAAGTGCATATCTAGTTATATACTCATATCTGTGGAGTCTCACTTCTGTTTCCTGCGATCCTTGTGGGAGGAATTCCTGTATTTTGTGAAATTCTCCAGTGTGGATGGTTAATGGATATTTGGAAACTGTTGTAGCAGCTCAATCACCGGAGACTAGAGGTGAAAATTGTCATCTTTAAATTAAAACATTCAGATTGAGTGAATGATTCAGTGGCATTATTCCATTAGTGTAGGAAACTATTGTGCCCTTGTGATCATGACTCTGCAGGTGCAGTGTAACATTGCAGGTCAATTTAACTCAACACAACAGACATTAGGAAACTCGTTGTCTGACTTCGATTGGCTTGTTGGTCAGGAGGATGTTGACAAATGACAGCGTGCCTCAGTTGGTAGCACTCCAAAGTGTTGCTGAGGATGTTACATTGTTGGAGGTGAAACAAGAGGTTAAATTGAGGTCCCATTTGCTTGTTCATGTGAATGCTAAAGATCGCATAGTAATATTCAAAACAAGAAGGGAGTTTGTCCCGGTGTCTTAGCCAACATTCTCCCAAATAAAATTGGTCATTCACTTTAAGACTGTTGTCATACTGTGCACAAGTTGCCTGCTGCATTCCTCTACAAATAACACAGTTACTACACTTCATAGTATATCCTGTGAAGCACTTTGAGACGTTTCAACAACATAGTAAGGCACTAAGTCAAATGTAAGTACTATTAATAATAAAGATCTCAATACACTATTTCTAATTGCCATATTTCTGCTGTCCATACACACTGGAGAACTCTTTTAATGACATTCAGGAATTGTTTGCCGGAAACAAAAGTGAGCAGGGAAGTTCTCCCCAGGTCCTGATCAATAATTCTCCTTCGTCCAAATTCTTTAAAAAGGAGTAATGTGGTGGTTCATCCCATTTGTGATGATGGTGCATTGCTGATGTATTTTAGCTGCCATGTTTGTTTACGTAACACCTGCTAGATTATAAAATAGCTCATTGCATGAACTGACGAGAGACGGTTTGACGTGTTAAGACAATATATCTAATGCAGTGTATTATTTTTCTTTCCTCCTTGTGAATTTCTCTGGTTTACCCTGTTTGGTTTTGGTTAAGGTACGTGGAATGGAACCACTAAAGTCGCAGTGAAAACCCTGAAGCCAGGAACCATGTCTCCCGAGTCCTTTCTCGAGGAAGCTCAAATCATGAAGAAATTGAGACATGATAAATTGGTTCAGCTTTATGCTGTAGTCTCAGAAGAGCCTATCTACATTGTCACCGAATACATGAGCAAAGGTGAGATATTTTTCTCAGGTATTAAATGTAAAAAGAAGCCTGTGTAATATTTAGTGGCTCAGTAATAGTTTATATTCTTTAGATGTTAGCATATGAAAAGTCACGTTTTATATTAACTTCACCTATAATGCAGCTAAGTGTAATAAATGAATCGGTATGTACCAACACTTGAGCGAGCTACACGTTGTATCATTCAAAGTGATATCATTCTAAGAAGGGCATTAGAGTAGAACACAGCTGATTGAGTCGATGGTTAACCCTTTATAGACAGGCAGAGCAATTATGGAAAACTGAGGGATTAAACATTCTGAGGCCTTAAGAACATTATTATAAATTTTAAGAATGGAAAAAAAAGTTTTACCAACCTCAAAATGCTGTACAGATGTGTTTTACATGTTTGCCTTTGACACGGTTCTTTTTGTCCCCTCTCACCTTTCTCGCTCCCTCTTTCTCTGTCCAATATCTTTCATCCCAGATACAGGAAAATTCCCACACATATATGTAATTCCCACATATATAAATGTATATGTGGAACTCTCAGTCTTTTTTTGGAGCATGATGATGGGTTTGCACATGTGTCAGACACCTGACCGACCAAAACTGTTCATCCTGATAAAGTGCCTCAGGATTCCTCCTGATGCGAATATTTATTTACCATCTTTCTTTCTTTCTTTCTTTCTTTCTTTCTTTCTTTCTTTCTTTTTTTTTTTTCTTTCTTTCTTTCTTTCTTTCTTTCTTTCTTTCTTTCTTTAATATTTATTTATATCGCTATATGAATGCATTGAATTTACCATCTTGATGCATTTTAATAAGCACTGGCTGCAATATTTATAAATCCTGCCCCAAAACAGCACTGTCTAACTAAAAATAAACAACTTTATGAAAGTTGTAAAATTAAATATTTGAAGAAAACACAATCGAGCTTACTACTTTTTTCTGCTGTTCAAAAGCCTATTACCAGTCATCAAGCAGAAAGTCAATGCCTTGAATGCAGCAAATAGACTAAACTGTTCTTAGCCAACAATGTGTCTCACCAGGGACTATTGAACACCATCATCAGATAAAAAGGATGTAATCCCTGGGACTTTACAACATACAGTCTGATGAGTGTAACAATTATTGCAAACTTTACTATTTTCAAGCCATGAGATTGAAATCCTTGACATATCCTGCAAGCTGTAAAGGATAGACAATTCCCGGGTTTAAGCCAAATGACTAAAGCAAGCATGCAAACCATGTAGGTTAAATAGTTCAGCATGTTATTGCTCTCAAGTGACTACAAAAGCACTTATTGTGGACATCTAAACAATGTTGTCTAAAATAAAGTGTACCCATTTTACATTGTCCTTTCTACTGTATCACTCAAGAATTTATCCAGGAAAGTGATACAGTGACTACCTTAGTTTATAACTGACAGCTGCAATAGACTGGGTAACTGAGGTTGAGTAATGAATTTGTCCAGTTTTTGATCAGAAACAGGAACCCTAGATATTTTCTCCTCCCTCCACAGTCCAGGAAAAGGGATAACAAATCTTGTACTCCTTGGTAAGTTCCAAGTGCTGTGACCAGCGTGCATTGCTTCCTGAGGTCAGGGTTAATGGCCTTCCTTCCAGCTTGAAATCCCGGATGCCTTGCAATGGACTGGAAGTAGGTGTGCCTCGACAAGGTTGCTGATCCAGTCTGTCTCGCCTCCTATTTTCATGAATTGTCCTCCTGCTGGAGTTGTCTACAGTAAACTCCTAATAACTCAACCCCGGCTTAACTTGTCACTGTGATTTAATTATGTCATCATGCTGTCAATATCCCGGCCGCATTTATTTATGTGTGTATATACATATATATATATCTAACACGCCACTCTGGATAACTCGTCACTGAGCCCTTTCCTCTTGGAGTAATGAGTTATCAGGAGTTTACTGTATATATGTTAACTCCATTCATATCAAATCTGTGCATTATAGAGGTACAGTATCCTATGAGTTGTGCTCTTTTGGACTTATTCTACTCAATGAATGGCAGTGTAGCGATGAACAATGTTCTGCTCCTGTGTACCTTAGCCATGAAGTAGACCATAAGACGTAGGAGCAGGAGTAGGCGGTTCGGCCCCTCGAGCCTGACCCGCCATTTAATAAGATCATGGCTGATCTTCCAACCTAATTCCATTTACCCACCCTATCCCCATATCCCTTAATCCCTCTATCCTTTAGAAATCTATCAATCTCAGTCTTGAATATGTTCAAGTACTGACATCCACAGCCTTCTGGGGTAGAGAATTCCACAAATTCAACTACCATCTAAGTGAAGAAATCTTTCCTCAGCTCAGTTTGAAAAGGCTGATACTTAATCTTGAAACTATGACCCCTAGATTTAGATTCTCCAACCAGGGGAAACAGTCTCACAGCATCTACCACGTCAAGGCCCTTAAGAATCTTATAGGTTTCTATAAGATCAACTCTAATTCTGTAGAGCAATTAAATTATAGTCAACTTACAAGTTTAGAATTAGCAATAAAACGGAGAGCAATATGTCTGCCTGTCCTGCTAGCCAGCATGTGTCCATGAGAGCTTCAAAGGGCAGTTTATTTTTTTAAAAATCTTCACAATGAATGAAAACAAAATGTTGGCAATATAATGTATCGTGAAATTGCATTTCTCTTAATATTGTACTGTATAACTGGTGTTAGATATTTGCTCAGATTGCAGTACTGCACTGACGTCATTAAATTTCCACTAGATAAGAGGTGCCTTCAAAAGGCACTCTAGAGTGTTATATAAAAAACAAATAGAGAGGATGACTGGACCCAATGTGCAAAACTGGTATGAGTAATCTGTTTATTGGCCATCACAGTGATGTACAGCACAATTGGGTAATTGTGACCATCTGGTTTGAAATGGAACAAGAAAATAACCCTTCCAATTAGAAGATGAACACATTAAAAGGATGGCAGACAGAGGTTGCTGTGGCTTGGAAAATCGACAACAGCAGTCAATTGATTTTACTTTGTTCTCATCGGAAAGAGCCATCCATCACATTAAAACCTCAAAGTCTGCACACCAAAGAGTTTGGTTTCTCTACTCTGTTGCGGGGAGGGAACAGCATGGTGCTTGATATTCTGCTGTTGATTGGGGCCTGGGGATGTTTAGTTGCACCTGATGACCTGTGGCAGGACATTCACCTAATGTGGGCTGGATATACAGTGAACTTCATGTACATCTGACATAAATAAAGTTACAGGTTGTAAATCCTACAGAGAGATCTCAATACCATTGGAAATAGCATATATTACTTTTTAAGTTGCTCAAGCAAGTTGGCCCTATGTTCTTTTTTGACCATCTTTTGTCTCCCTCTGTCATAATAAATTAGTCACTTCAATTTGGGAGATAGTTGGCCAGGATACCGGGCAAAACTTCTACGACTGTTTGTGGGACACAGCTGTCGCAATTGCTTGCTGCATTTTGCCCACAAAGTATACAGTCAATTCACTTTACTGTGTATTTAGTGAAGTGCTTTGAGATGTCTCGAAGACGTAATAAGGCGCTGTATCAAATGCAAGGATTATTATTATCCTGGATGTGAGGAAGGAGGGGAAGTAGTCTCCAGACGTCCTCCATGTTGAGTTGGCCACAAGGAGATATGAGAGCATGAAGCAATGGCTTAGTCAGCAATAAACAACAGTTAGTCAGTCTTAAACTCTCTCACAACCATCCTTCAATATTGGATATCAGTCAAGGCAGCAGTTGCTGGACTGAGGTAGGGGGGAAATATCTAGAGTTGAGCTTCCAATCACTACACCGAAAGTGGTGTAGACATCATCTTAGAACTGGATTGACCCAGATGTCACATCCCCTCGGTTGAATATCCTGCCCACTCTCGATGCTTTGGTCTTTCGCTTGAACAAGATACCTGAAGGTTTCCAGCATCCATGGAAACCTACCCCAGCAAGAGTCTGTGTCTTCAGAAGAGATGGGGAGAAAATGCGAAAAAGAAGAAAAACTCCAACTTGTAGGCTGAAATTGCCTGTCTTCAGGAGCCGTCATCTTCTGTTCTCACTGAAGCACAAAAACCTATTGTTGCCATCTGTACTAAAGTAAAAAGCAGACTGGCAGGCACAGCATCTTTGCTTCCAAACAATGCTTTTACATGTGGTTTAAATCTGCATGCTTACCACTGCCAGTGCTGGGATAATTCTCAATCCCATTTGCTTGCCTGCTGTTTAAACATTCTTTTCTTGCCAAATAGCACAAGCTGTTTTAAGTGCCATACTGGCAACATCCACCTTTCCCACTGTCCATCGTGTAATGAACAAAGATGCTGGCGTTGATCTCTGTTTTTTCTTTTGCCAGTCTGTCACTCATGTGGTGTTGCTAACTGAAGTTTTCATCAAAAGAGAAAAAGACACTGGGATTTATTATGCACCATTTGTCTGCCATGTGTACCCCATGTGTACAAGGACATGTATCTATACCGTGCCCTTCACGTAGGATAACATCTCAGAAAGCTGCACAGTGGTGAGGTTGGACACTGAGCAAAGAAGGGGGAGTGGGTGACCATAGGCACGATCAAGTCATTAGGTGGGGTTTAAAGATAGATTAAAAAGCAGGTGAGGCAGAGGGAAAGAGGCAGGGACTTCCAGAGGTTAAGCATGATTCCGGAATGCTTCTAATTTGTAGTTCTATAATTAAAGGGGCTTGTAAGTCCTCAGTACATATCCATCCATACACGGAGCCTAATAGAAAGTACATGTGACAGCTTTAGAAATCTTGCATTTGGTATATTTTCAGTAGCTTCGTGCTGGTTAGCTGCCAAATGGAAAAACACACCGGGTAATAATAATAATAATAATAATCCTTGCATTTGATATAGCGCTTTTCACGTCAGGAGGACGTCCCAAAGCGCTTCACAGAACACACTGTAAAGTGAATTGACTGTATATTTGTGGGCGAACGCGGCAGCCAATTGCGCACAACAATGTCCCACAAACAGCCGTAGATTGAAAATGACCAATTTATTATTGTTTTTGGTTTTGGAGGGATTATTATTAGGCGTATGGACCAAGGTTTCAACCTGCCTGGAATTGAACTCAGGTCTCTCACTTGCAAAGCGAGTGCTCTAACCACTGAGCTACAGGACTCCACAGGGCAGTGTTCATTTCCTGCCCTCAATCTTCCTAGCTCAGGGACATGAAGGCTAATTGTAGCATCTACATTGTTGCTGGCTGAGATCAGCCAACTCTCTATAGACTGTCAAAAGCTTTGATGCATGCTCCTGATCAAGTGTGTCAGCTTGGCTCAGTGGTAGCCCTCTCACCTCTGAGTCAAAAGTCGGGGCTTGGAATTCACGTACAGGAGCTGTGTTGCATTGTCAGAGATGTTGTTCTCCGGATGAGACATTAAACCGAGGTTCCGGCGGTCGTTAAAGATGACATGGCATTGCTTGAAAAGAGAAGGGAGTTTCACCCAGTATCCTGGCCAACTATCTCCCAAATTAAAATTGGTCACTTGTTTCATGGCTGTTTGTGGGAAATTGACTGCTGCTGCGTTTGCCTACAAATACACAGTCACTCCATTTCACAGTAAATGCTGTGAAGCCCGTTGAGATGGCCAACGGATGTGATAAGGTACTATACTAAATGCAAGGATGATTATTATTGTCGACTCCCAAGCAAAGGATATGTCTAGTTACAGGGGATTTTTTTCCCAATCTCTTCTCCCCTCATCATTCAACCATTAATAAAACCATTAACAAAAATGTACCATTCCAATGACATTTTCCAGAAAGTATTTGTTGCTGTAGGGATACTGGGGCCAGCAGGATGACTGCTGTGGACTGACTTTAGGATCCTCATCTTTACTTTCAGAAGCCTGTACCGTCTATATAGGTTTATTATCATTAATTGTTTGTATGCTAATTTCCTGGTATGGTCACAAATGTGTTTTTGAAGACATTACCTTGGTGTATAGTGCCTTTCATATGAGATGAACTGTTCTAAGTGCTTCACGTAGATGATGGAGATCATTAGGCAGTGAGGGGAGGGGTTGATTTAAAGGTTTTACACAATCGAAAATATGTTTTTAAGAGATTTCTGAAGGTTGTATATAGATGGCTGAAGACAAAGGGGTTTGGGGGCGAGAATTCCAAAGAGTCAGATTAATCAGAAGCCGAGCTCGCTGTTAGCTATTCACTGCAACTTGATTCATCTCATGGTCACATACTTGTGATTTTCAGTGATTTAAAACATTATTGCTTTGATTTGTATAAATGAAATGTTACTTTGCTGTAGGAACACTTGTATTAGATGTTCACTCAAATCCCTTTTATTGGCCAGCGAACATTGGCCAAAGCATCTCAAATTATACATGTTTTTATTGATTTACAAAATAAATTAGTACATTTTTACTCCTGCTGTCTTACAATATCACTCTTGGGAAAACAAGTAAACACCTGTTTACAAAACAGTGAAAAGCGTTAAGTCTTTGAAAGAGGAAAAGCTCCATGCAACTTAACTAGCCCTGCCAATGTTACTGTTCTGGTTTTAACAATTTGCATTTATATGGTGTCCTTCACCCAGGAGAGCATCTCGGAGCAACAATATCATGGACACAGTGTTGCGTTTCATTTGGTCAGCCAGGTCTGATATGCAGAAATCCATCACCATGCTTAAAAGCATCCAAACCAGTCTGAGAGTTCCACATATCTATGCCACCTCCACATCAATATTTCCGAATCTGGAATGAAATGTGCATTCTCTTCCTGGAGGGATAGCCCTGCTCGCCTAATCCCAGAGAGTATTAGACATAGGTTAGCAAGAGCCAAGGCATAGGGCCCCCTGAGTGTATGTTAGGGTACTGCTGCTGTTTAACCAGCTAAAACCTCATAGCTTGCACTGCCTGGCAAGCTTCCAGCTGCTTATCCAGCTACGATCACCCTACTTGTTAGGACTTTGGCTTTCAGGGTCCACAGGAACTGAATGGAAAAAATCCCTGCCCTTGTCTGTCCCTCCAATTCCTGCCAACAAGCCAGGCTGGCTGATCTATCCTCATCTGGAATACTATGGATCTGGTTGCTCATAGACCACAGAGGATTGACTTCATTCTGGCATTCCATTGCCAATCATGTTACCTTGGAATTGCATAAGTATGTATATTTCGGGACAAGTCCACGATCCCATCTTCAAAAAGCATGCCAACTGACTTAGACTCTCAGCAGCTTTCTGTAGGATAAACTGATTTGCAATAAGATTGAATTGTTAGCATTTAACTACCGAAGGTGATCCAAAGACTGCTGGTGCTTTTCGGTGCAGATTTTTAGCTTGAAGGTTCTCAATTCTTAGCTTTGAAGTAAACACCTTAAAGTTCTGGAAACTAAAATGATGTTCATTATTTGAGACTCAATAAAAACTTGTATGTCTGTGACATTAATGGTGATTCTTGTTAACATTGATCACTTTTGCTTTCTTGCTGATTTTCAGGAAGCCTATTAGATTTCCTGAAAGATGGAGAGGGAAGAGCTTTGAAGTTGCCGAACCTAGTGGACATGGCAGCACAGGTGAGGTGCAAACTGACCATATTAAAAAAAATACCGATAGCATTGTGCATAATTTTACTTAGTATTTTACTGTTTTTCGATTCACTATTTGATTAGGTGGCAGCAGGCATGGCGTACATTGAGAGAATGAACTACATTCATCGAGACCTACGGTCAGCCAACATTCTGGTCGGAGACAATCTGGTGTGCAAGATCGCTGACTTCGGATTAGCAAGGTTGATCGAAGACAATGAATACACGGCACGGCAAGGTGGGTCATTTGTCTGTTTCCATATGAATTGTTTATCCATGGACCTCCTCGGGCTGCATTTCGTTTCAGTGTTGGAGGTTGCGTTTTACACGCAACAATCAGTGCAAATGTTCAGTACACTAAATGATTGTTTTGAGTTTAGAATGTGGATAACCATGGCTAAGGCCTTTTTTTATATTTGGATCTAGTTTATGAAATTTGGAAAAGGGTTGCTTGATGACTACTGTGGAATTCTGCTTGTGGCTCTCGTAGTTCCAGCTTGCATAAAGTTGAGCAAAGTTAGATCATCAACAATGACGCAACCAATATTCACTTTTGCAAACTTCATGATTTGGACCTCAATCTGTAATTTGCTAGCCAAAAATTGTATGGCTTTTGAGATACCCTGTAGTTCCACAAAGGTCATTTAGATTGTGCAAGATACAAAGTGCAGTTCATCCACAAGTTTCTGAATGTTAGCTTTGAAAGTAATACTTACAACATCCCTCTCGTGTAGCATTTTAGATTTTGTGCATTTCCGAGAAAATGTTTTGTGAGTTTTGCTGGAAAAGTACTGGAAGGTGGAATATTTAGACCACAGTGGAGTGCGGGTGAGGGGAATCCTTGCATATCGCTAAATTCACTGACTGGTTGAGAATTGCCCTCTTGGTCATTTGCAGTATAACTCAATTTGCAAAAGATTAATATTGTCGCATGGATCTCAGTCAAAATCAGATCATGTAGTTTAAGCAGCTTGCTTTTGGAGTAATATCTGCCTCTAAGAGTCTGATGAAATAGATAAATGTAGTTTGCACATTGTATCAAGTAATAAAGTTAAATACTGGTGAATGGAACCAGTTGAATTAAAGAAAGAGACACCTGAGCCTTATCCTGTAATCGAGTTGCCTGCAACAAATATCTAATAATGCACTCAGTGCAGGTTGTACTTTTCAATGAATCACATTTACAGCAAATTTATTTGAAATGTTTTGGTTAGTGCAGGAAATTGCTAAATAAAGTTCAAGATCCAAATGAATAATGGTGCCATTAATTTGGCTTCTCTCCCACTGTGTGTATCTTAGTAGAAAGGTTAATCCTAAGAGTTGATCAAAGCACTGCTTATTGTAACTGGAGTTTTTATTTAGCAATCTTTTGTCTGATTTTAAAAGAAACATCATCATTCCATGGGCTTCAACCTTCCTCCATTTAGTGGAGATTATTTGTCTCATGTGTAAATGGAATAGAATAATTCTGCCCAGTCTTTCTGAAATGCTTTTAATAATAATCATTACATTTTATATAATGTCTTTCACGATGTGAGGATATCTCAGAATACTTAACAGGATATACTGTAAGCTGTAGTGACTGTACATTTTGGAGGCAGCCAATTTAAACATAATGTCCCACAAGCAGCCATGAAGTCAGTGACCATTTTTATCTGGAGTTTGTTGACCAGAATACCAGGAGAAACTCTTTTTTCAAATAGATCTTTAACATCCAACTGAATAAACAAACTGCTAAATGTCAAATAACTTTTAATAACAACCTGAGGAATTGAGAATACAAGTCCAGACTGCATGATTCACACTCAATTCAAGAATACTACAATGAATCAGGACTAAAGTTATTACAAACAATCAAAAATACTCCCAGAAATGGCCTGCGATACATAATGTTGCAATTGATTCTGTCTTCGCAGAAAAGATGTTGGTGTAACGGAGTTTTATTATGTGCCAATGTAAATATGGAATAGCCTATAGTTAAACCATGCATAAGAAACAGGAACGCTTGAGTGACTATTGTGAAAATAAAATTCATATTAACCATCTCCAATAGAAAAGGTATTCCTAGAAATTTTTTTTTTAAATGGCAGTAATTTGTCAAATTATGAACATCTTGTTGAATACATAATTAATGTATGTCTGTAGTTTTCCACTGTAATCAGCTGGCATAATGAAGGGTGTGTGCTGGCAGATGTTCTGTCACACGCCTCATATCAATCTAATCAACTCAAGTAAAATTCAGCAGGCAACTGGCCTTGAAAACCTTGTAGCCTCTGTACTTGTTGGCTAATCTGCTCCTTAAACTCACACTCATTACATGGTAGGAAAGGGTTTAGGTACAAAACAATACAAAATTACATTCGTAAAGCGCCTTTGATGTCAGGAGGACGACCCAAGTCGCTGGTAATGTGGTGAAGAAACATTGCCAGGTGTACCTATGACAGAGCGAGAATCGTCACCATTGTTATCATAAACCCAGTGAGATATTCTTTGATAGCAACAGCTTTTTTTTAAAAAGCAATTTATTTTGAACTTTATCCTTAAAGCAAAACAAAAAGTAGAATGGGTTAGCATTAATGGCATTACTCCAGGAAAGGAGATTAGATGTGTTGGGAATTTGTCCTGCTTTATTGCATGGGTGGTAAATTGCACAGAATAAAATTCCCCATGTGGAGACCAGAGCAGTAGATGGGGAGTACAGTATTGACCAAGCAGGGAGCTAAACAAAAATATGGGGACAAATAACAACTAAACTTTTTGTGGTGAAATGTTTTATCTGCCAGGATTAAACTTCTTTGTTTGAGAGTTGGGAACCACAGAGGTCAGGGGAAAGTGACAAAGTTCAGGGACACTCGTTTTTGGTTGCTTGTGTCCACCTAAAGCTTATCTACCTTGAACCTGAATATACTCCTTTCTGCAGTCTGATTCATCTATTAAAGCAGCGTTGCTGCTTTTATGCACCACTTTTGACATTGGTGTCATGCCCTTTAGTGGTGCAGTCAGAACAACTGAAGTACGAAACAGAATGAACAAGCAGAAGACAATGCCTTGTAATGCAAGTCACTATGAGGGAACAGTTTGCAAAATCTGAAAGATATAGACCCAGGTAGAATTTCTTCCATTGCAGCTTGAATAATGTCTCTTCATGCCTGTTATGGGATACAAATGCTCCTGATTCATGGATTGTTTGCTCCCTCTCTCTCTTTCTCTCTCCCCTCATTGGAAAATAAAGCTGCTAAAATAAAACTGCAAAAAAGATTGGGATTGTTTTCCCCAAGTCCATGGACATGCAAGATTATTTTTCTGAGTTAAGAGAGTGAGGGATTGTGATCTTGCCCATGAAACTCCCCCTAAATAGGGACTGATGTTAAAGCTGCCAGAATTAGGGAGTTGGAATAATGATCCACTAGGAATGGCAGTAGCCACTATGAGGCATTTTGACAGTATAATTAGACTATACCTCAACTGCCAGGATTATTATTAATATTTTGCTTGATTTAAATTGTCAAGTGCCGATGAAACCTAAAAGCACAAATGTGCCAGTATTCCTAGAATATAGTAGAAAATGGTGATGGAAGAGACAGATGCTCAGATATCAAAAATGTTTCATCATTTTTTCTTCCCCCCCTCACCACTTCACAATAGGTGCTAAATTTCCCATAAAATGGACTGCACCAGAAGCAGCGCTGTACGGGAGGTTCACAATTAAATCCGACGTATGGTCCTTTGGAATTCTCCTAACAGAGTTGGTGACAAAGGGACGGGTACCTTACCCAGGTAAGCTATAGCATGCTCTATCTGACAGAATTACGTGTATGCTACACCAAGGTAAACGGTGTGACAGAATCACATGTACATTACCAACAGTGTGCGTTGGATACTGCTGGAATTTAACCAGCTAAAATGGTAGAGGTTGCTAATGAGAGAACTGTCTAGTAAACCTCCCATCGCTTGTCCAGCTGGGACCACCCTATCCATTAGGGCTTTGGCTTGAGGGGCTTCTAAGGAAGTGAGTGGGAAGAATCACTGCTGTCAGTAACAAATCTGCCACTCCAAATTCTATGGACAAACCAGGCTGACTGGTCCTAGAGTACTGTGGACCCGCCTAGCTCAGGAACCAAACCCTCCACAGAGGATTGACTTAATTCCAAAATTTTGTTGCAAGGCAAATCACCTTGGAGCCAGCTCAACTGCACCAGTAACACTGGTTTGCCAACACAGAATTATAATGGGGAGAGAGTATGTGCAATGTAACAGACCAATTGCATTTATATAGCACCTTTCACTTTCGTAAGACATCCCAAGGTGCTGGATAGTCAAGGATTTGTACCCAAGTTGGGGATGGAGTCAAGAAAGGTGGAGGGCAAGGGGGATGGAGGTGAGAGAATGACCGAGGGCATGGTCAAAGGAAGGCATGGTCAAAGAGGAAGGACTTGAAACAAGCCTTGAAGGGAGGGAGTGTAGCTGATCCATGTTGGTTGGAGTAACAGCCCTCTGGTGTTTCAATCCCATGACCCCATGGATGTCTATTAAATCAGGGTGGGGGGAACACTAACACCCTCTCCAGCTTTCCTTGCTTCAGAAACCAGATGAATGAGTTAAAGTGACTAAAAGGAATCTTATCCTTAGAGGGCAGCCTTGCTGTGCTGCACTGCACATTTGGCTCTGGCCCACACTTAACCACATGGCCTCACTATCTATTCTTGGTTTTATTTCCTCTAAAACCCTTAGACTGCAATTCACAAATCAATACTTGCTCTTACTACTGGGAAGTGCACATTGCTGTGGCACACCTAATGGGAAGTCCCCCTCACGCAGCTTTACATATTGCATGCAATATCCAGGAAAAGGAACTTGTTGGCTTGCAGTCTGGAGTTGGCACTGCTTGATTCTTCCCTTTGGAAAAGCTGAAATCTTTTGTCTGCCTCTGCTGTGGAGTATGCAAGGGAAATCAATTACATAAAATTACATAGAATGTTACAGCACAGAAACAGGTCATTCGGCCCAACTAGTCCATGCCAATGTTTACACTGCACTCCAGCCCTCACCCCTCCTATTTCCCTCTCTATTCCCCTCCTCATGTTTGCAAAAGTTTTCTTTCAAATATATTGATGTTTTTAGCTTCAACCACAGCTTCTATCAGAGAGATCTCACTGCCCTCTGTGAAAGGAAGTTTCTTGTCAACCCTCATTTTAGATTTGCTACTATCTACCTTATATTTATGGCCCCTCATTTTGAATACACATCCTATTAATACCAACTTATCGAATACTTTCACAGTCTTAGAAACCTCTATCAGGCCCCTCTCAAAACGCCTCATTTCCAGAGAGAAAAGCTTTCACCTGTCCAATCTTTCTTGCATGTGCCGGACACCCCACATCCATGCCATGACCTGCTCTGCCTTCCCCCATCTCCGCAACATCGCCCAGCTCCACCACTGTCTCACACCACAGTCCGCCGAAACCCTTATACAATCTTCATAATATCCAGACTCGACTATGCAAACTCCCTGCTTGTCGGACTCCCCAACTCCTCCCTCCACAGGCTGCAGATCATCCAGAACTCTGTAGCCTGTGTCCTCACCTGCACCAGGCTCCGTGATCCTAACCTTGTTCCCCTCTACCTCTACGACCCCCTAACCCCCTACCAACCTTCCCACTCCCTCCGCTCAGCAGGCTCTGGCCTGTTTCACGTCCACCGCCTCCTCCGCCCCACCATAATAATAATAATAATCCTTGCATTTGATATAGCGCTTTTCACGTTTTCTCGATGTCTCAAAGCTCTTCACAGTATAGACTGTAAAGTGAATTGACCCTATATTTGTGGGTGAAAGGCGGCAGCCAATTGCACACAGCAGTGTCCCACAAACAGTCGTGGATTGAAAATGACCAATTTATTATTGTTTTGTTTTGGAGGGATTATTATTAGGCGTGTGGAGTAAGGAAACTTGCCCAAGGTTTCGCCCTGCCTGGAATTGAACCCAGGTGTCTCGCTTGCAAGGCGAGTGCTCTAACCACTGAGCTACAGGACTCCATTGGCGGGTGGGGCTTCTGCCACTCTGCCCCCACCCTCTGGAACTCCATCCCGCAGTCCCTCCGCCTCATCCCCTCCCTTGCCTCCTTCAACACCCATCTCAAGACCCTTCTCTTCAACCGTATTTTCGGTCACCCTCCTTTCGCCCCTGCTCTCCACCCTCCCCGATCCCGCCCCCCAGCTCGGGTCCGAAACATTGTCCGAGAAATGATTATCCAGCATCTTGGGATGTCCTCCCAACATGAAAGGCGGTATACAAATGTAATTCTGTTGTTCTTCTTGATAGCTCTATTCACTCATCCATGGCAAGTCCTTGTAAATCTATGCTGTACTCTGTCAAACACTTCAATAATCCTTCTCTAATATGGTGACCAGAACTGCACACAGTTTACCAATTGTGGTCTAACCAAAATTTTATATACATTTAAAATAACTTCCCTACTTTTATACTTCAATCCTTTGCACTTAAGCTTGGGACTCTATTTGCATTCTTTCTGGCCTTGTCCACCTGTGCTCTTGTGAATCTGATCCCTAAATCCCTTTGTTTCTCTACCTATTAATTTCCTACCATCCAAGGTATATTTGGTGCTTTATTCTAATCACCAAAGTGAATCACTTCATATTCTCTATATTCGCTTCACATTATCTTGTTCTTAAAGTCAATTCATTTTACAGTATATTCAGTGAAGCGCTTCGAGATGTCTCAACGACATGATAAGGCAGTATATTAAATGCAAAGATCATTATTATAAGTGCTCGTAGAACACCTCTTTATTTTTGTTTCTTGTTATTTTATCTAAACATCCTTCTTTACCATACTAATTATCTTAAACTCATTGTCTTTGTTTCTATTTTCTTCTCTGTTAATCCTTTTTGCAATTTTCAACCATTTTTTCCTTAGATCTAGTTTTATTCTTGGCTCTTTATTCATCCATGGCCTCTCATTATTGTATAACTCCTTTTATTTCTCAATGGGGATATATTTTTCCTAAGCCTTTTTTTCTATTATCGTGTTAAATTACCTTCCGTTGTTGCTCAACCTCTTTACTTGACAATTTCTCACTCTAGTTTACCTCAACTAGTTCATTCCTTTCTAGTTGGCTTTTTTTCCAGTCCAGTACTTCAGTCATTGCCTTGCCCTCCTTTTTTATCATCGCCTAATTCAAAAAAGTGTAAACAAATAAGTAAGCTGCAAGTCAATGTGTGACTTTGGGCATCAGTTCTTTGCACCATTCACTCTCCTCTGTGTTACTTTGTGGGTTTGAAGACAATTGCATGCCCACTTAAGCGCTCTGAGAAGTTACCCCACATGAATATAAATGCAAGTTCTTCCTCAGCACGGGATTGTTGATAAAGGAAACAAAACATAAAAGCTTCAAAAAATGACAGCAGTTCTGAGAAGTTGGATTGCAATTTGAGGAAGATTGAGTTGAGGGGCATTAGAGAGTAGTGTAGGATCATTTATTAGTTTTCATTTATTCTTTTAGTTTGGGACAGGCCAGTCCAGTTGGAGATTGAAGATCCCATATAATCCTTGCATTTGAAGCACTTTGAGACGTGAAAGGTGCTATACCAAATCCAAGAATTATGTATATAAATGTATTGTTTTAATGTAATGGATCAAAGTGAGGATCTAGTTATGTAAATCTATGAATGCACTGACTTACACGGCCTCTGTATTTGTATATTAGGTATGAACAATCGCGAGGTGCTGGAGCAGGTGGAGCGCGGATACAGGATGCCATCTCCAATGGACTGCCCCAGCTCCCTCCATGAGCTTATGATACAATGTTGGAAGAAAGATCCCGAGGAGAGGCCTACTTTTGAGTATCTGCAGGCCTTCTTGGAGGACTACTTCACTGCGACAGAGCCTCAGTACCAGCCTGGGGACAACCTGTAACCTGCTGTACTATCAGGACTGCTGTCTTCAGCTGATCCTCCCTTTTCCCAGTCCCATTTCTCATTGTCCTTCCAGAACCTAGGCCCCACTCTACGGAAACTGGTATCGTCCAATAACATGCCCTTTTCCATTCCCCTGGAAAGCAATGTCCCTCCTTTCATCTTAAGATTCTGTGTTTATTTGAGGCTTTTTTTTAATGTTGGAATGTTAGAATTGTATAATCATTGTTGAAAAGAATGGGCGACTTTCGCTTCATTTCTTTGTCTCACCAAGATATCAAGCCCCATCTTCCCCTCTATCTCTCTCTCCCCCCCAATCCTGGGGTTTTGCCTCTCAGATTATCCAGACTTATCGATATTATGAAACCCAAGTGGTTTTGGTTTAGTTCAGTTACCTTCTGAACCATGCTAATACCCAGTGGCCTTGGGTGAATATCGACTCTTTGCTGATAATTATTGTTTGAAGCCTTTTACATAGGACTCCACAGAGGTATGGAAAAGATGTAATCTAACTTCATTTGAGCTCAACGGACATTGTGAAGGTTTCTGACTGAGAACATTGCAAAGAAGGAAAACTGTGATTCTGTTTCTTTTAGGATTTCCTGCTTTTCTAGGTCTTTGCATATTGCCATGAAGGTGGGCTATTTGGTGACATTGGATGATGCCAAAAGCTCTGTTTTTGCACGTTGTTGCACTGCCCTGCATCACCGTCTGTTTTAATTACTATTTCGAATTTTGTTTGTTGATGGACTTGTACGATTTTTTAAAAATAAAACTAATGATGTAATGTGTCATTTTTTTAAACAAGTGCTAAAATTGGACACATTTCCTATGTGTCCACCCTCCTGCCCTCCACCTATGATCACAATGATTAGGCTTTCAGTGATGTTAAGTTCAGATTAGTTAGACTGTGATTCACATAGTGAAACAATGTCCCCAGAGCTAACAGGATACTATGTGAGTCTGATTAACAATATAGAGCTGAGTGCTGGTGAATTGAGAGGAAATGGAAATCTGTTGTATGGACTACACCTTGTGAGAGTATTAATTTAATATGTCTGCCAGCAATTTACAATCCCGTTGAGAGTTCCAGAATGCATATGACTGGCCCTTTACACTTCTAAATTAAGAGCGACTGCATACGGTTAGCTTAACCGGTACATTTACTGGCGCTTCAAGGGATAAAATGACAGAGCTTTTAACTGCAAGCATTCCAGAGTGTCATTTGTGTAACTTCATTTGCTGAATTTGTTTTTTAAAAAAATAAATTTTTTATATATAACTTTGACCTATGTGCAGTAATCAGTTGAGTTTCCAGATTGCTTCCCTGTACAGCCAATGACATCTTAAAGGATTATTTTAAGAGAATTACTATGCACTCGATAACTTTGATAGCAGATGCACAAATGTGGTAACGTGTTTTAGGATGTTACTACATTCCTTTAATTGACCGTGTGGTCTGAACTTTGGATTCTTTGTATTTGTACAGTTTAACCGAATGATGCCTCTGCATTAATTTTTTCCCCACCTTGCATTATGAATATAATATTTCAGTTGTCATTAATATGCATTTTAATGTTTCTGTGCCAGTTGACATATTTTACATAACTCTTAAATTTTCCTAATCCAGTTCTTGTCATTTTAAAGCCTGTATAATAAAGATCTTACCCAGGTCAGTGAATTTCTGCAATCATTTTGCACTCTGCTCAAATTAATCTGTCTGCAGTATGATAAAGCACAAGACATTATTTTATTTTACGGGAAAGCATTGGTGCTTTTTATTGATTTTTTTTTCAGACCCATATAGACATATGATGGAAACATGACATGGATCTTTTGGGATAAGAATGCAGTTACACTCAATTGCATAGGTACAGGCTCAGAATTCAATTCACAGCATGCAATTCACTATATTCTTTCTACAGCATTTTGGCTGCACATCCAAACTCCCAGGAGGATTCCATTTATGTCAGTTGGATGCAAGCTGGCACCAAGCATCCATCAGAACTACTACACATAATAATGCATGTACTGCACAAAGGCTGTGTTCTGTGTGCGGGGAGGGTGTGTGGAAGACAGGACATGGTCTTATTTGAATTGACATGGGCCAAACTTCACTATGCAGTATTTCATTTAATGGAGCATTTGAAAACTGAGCCCACATTGCAGCAGTCCAACAATATTAGTGATCCAGGCTATTTCAGTGCTGATGCAGGTATGGGTATTACACTATTGTATAAAAATATAATTTATTATTTAGATAAAATATTTCACTCCTGAGATATTGCTGTTAGGTATGAAGCATTTCAGTTTGTAACCCTTACCCCCTACCATTCACTTAATGGTTTGTAGATCTAGATTCTAAGGCCTAAAAGAAACCAAGTATAATAGTAATAATAATCCTTCCATTTGATTTAGCACCTTATCACGTCATTGAGATGTCTCAAAGCACTTCACGGGATATACTGTAAAGTGGATTGATTACGTGGGCAAAGCACAGCAAACAGTTTTCACACAGCATTATCCTACAAATGGCCATGGAGTGAGTGACCAATATTTATTTGGGGGTTTGTGGGGCCAGGGCACTGGGAGAAATTCCTTTCTCTTTTCGATTAGTGCCATGGGATCTTCAATGTCCACTTGAACAGATAGACAGGACCTCAGTTTAACGTTTCATCCAAAGTACAGCACCCTGACAATGGAACACACCCCAACGTTGCATTGGAGTGTCATCTTAGACAATGTGATTCAAGTCCCGAAGTGGGGCTTGAAACTACAAACTTCTCAGAAGCGAGAGCAAGGCTGACACACAAATGGTACCTTTTGCCATAAATAAATGCATTAAATCGATGAATACATCCATAGTAAATCTAAGCCATACTCTCTATATATTTCCACAACATCCTTTTTGTACTATGGTATCTTCAACTGTAAACTGCTCCAAATGCAGTCCAACTAAGATTTTGGACAAATTTAACATTACTGCTTTTGTATTCTACTGGATATAAAACCCAGGACTCAATTTGCATTCTTTATTGCCTTATCTACTTGTGTTCCTACTATTAGAGGCTTATTAAACTTGAATTGCCGGATCTCTTTACAATAATAAACAATAATCATGAGATCAGTAATAAACATAAGGTGTGTGTGCTTCAGAAGGAGTTAGTTTACCTTTATGAGACCATTGGTGATCGGGCATTCAGCATCTCTGCCCCCATACTCTGGAACTCTATCCTGCAATCCTTCCACCTCCTTTGAATCCCATCTAAAGAGCTTCCTCTTTCACTGTGCCTTTGGCCCCCCTCCACCCCTCCTGACTCCAACTTCCAGTTCGTGTCCAAAAACCCCTAACTGTCCAGTGCCCTGGGACATCTTTCCGATGTGAAGGGCACTATACAAGTGTAATTTGTTGTTGAGACAGCAATCAGATGTCATTCTGAAGCATCTTTCATAATTTAAGATTTCAACAACACTTCAAAGGGTCTTACACACATTCAGAGTTCTTGCACGTAGTGCACTGGAGAAATCAAGCCAGGTCTAAAGAAGGCCATTGGGCCCGAATACTGTCCTTCCATTGCAGCATCAAACGGTTTCTTCAATGAGTCCATAGTCCCAGGTTCAACTACCCTCTCTAGTAATATGTTCCAGCTGTTAATTACTCTCTAAATAACAAAATATTTACCTGATATCTAAATATATATAATTAAAACAAAGTTTAAATACTGTAAGTTAATTGTTTCACTCAGACTAATGCATTACAGAAACAGACGAGTTCAGGGTTGGATCACATCTGGATCAGTGGGTTGCAGGATCCATGATCAGAACTCTCCAATGCTGATTTACAAATAGCCCAAGTCGCTGGACGGGTCGGGTTTAGTTCCGTTTGGGGTTTGTGTTACATTGAGGAGGCTGGAAACCCTTATTGAGCAAGGGGATCCCTGGCAGTGTTCACAGCAGAGTGTCTGTAGCCAGCGAGATCAGAGGTGGGGAGTTCCCTCCCACTGACCCTCCCAGCCTCAATGTTGGGGGTTTACTGAGTTATGTTCAGTTATACACCAGCTATGAAAATTGCCAATAAAACATTGCGCTGGAATCTGTGGAATGTAAACCAAAACTCTGCGCTGAAGCTGTGGGTCCTGGGGGTGCTGGGTACCCTGGGGGTGCTGAGTACCCTGGGGGTGCTGGGTGAGCTGGGTGCCCTGGGGGGTGCTGGGTGTCCTGGGCCTGCTGGGTGCCCTGGGGCTGCTGGGTTCACTGGAGGTGCTGGATGATCTGGGTGCCCTGGGGGTGCTGGGAGCCCTGGGGGGTGCTGGGTGCCCTGAGGGAAGCTGAGTGCCCTGGAGGGTGCTGGGGCCCTGGCTGCTGGGTGCCCTGGGCTTGCTGGGTGCCCTGGTGCTGTCCTGGGGGCAAGGCCTGGGGAGCTCTCGGGTGGCGGTAGCAGTGCGGACGGTAAATGGGCTTCGCTTCACGGGTGAGTCACCATGGCCTGAACCCACCCCATGGGAGGGAATGTGTGTCTCTCTCTGAGTGTGTGTCTCTCTGAGTGTGTGTCTCTCTCTGAGTGTGTGTGTCTCTCTCTCTCTGTGAGGGTGTGTCTCTCTCTGAGTGTGTGTCTCTCTCTGAGTGTGTGTCTCTGTCTCTGAGTGTGTCTCTCTGAGTGTGTGTCTTTCTCTGAGTGTATCTCTCTGAGTGTGTGTGTGTCTCTCTCTGAGTCTGTGTGTCTCTCTGAGTGTGTGTGTCTCTCTCTGAGTGTGTGTGTCTCTCTGAGTGTGTGTCTCTCTCTGAGTGTGTGTGTCTCTCCCTGAGTAGGTCTCTCTGAGCGTGTGTCTCTCTCTCTGAGTGTGTGTGTGTCTCTCTCTGAGTGTCTCTCTCGGAATGTGTGTCTCTCTCTCTGAGTGTGTCTCTGAGTGTGTGTGTGTCTCTCTCTAAGTGTGTCTCTCTGAGTGTGTCTCTCTGAGTGTGTGTGTCTCTCTCTGAGTGTGTGTGTCTCTCTGAGTGTGTCTCTCTGAGTGTGTGTGTCTCTCTGAGTGTGTCTCTCTGAGTGTGTGTCTCTCTCTGAGTGTGTGTCTCTCTCTGAGTGTGTGTGTCTCTCTCTGAGTGTGTGTCTCTCTTTCTGAGTGTGTGTGTCTCTCTGAGTGTGTGTGTCTCTCTGAGTGTGTGTGTCTCTCTCTGAGTAGGTCTCTCTGAGTGTGTGTCTCTCTCTGAGTGTGTGTGTCTCTCTGAGTGTGTGTGTCTCTCTCTGAGTGTGTGTCTCTCTGAGTGTGTGTGTCTCTCTCTGAGTAGGTCTCTCTGAGTGTGTGTCTCTCTCTGAGTAGGTCTCTCTGAGTGTGTGTGTCTCTCTCTGAGTAGGTCTCTCTGAGTGTGTGTCTCTCTCTGAGTGTGTGTCTCTCTCTCTGAGTGTGAGTGTGTCTCTCTCTGAGTGTGTGTGTCTCTCTGAGTGTGTGTCTCTCTGAGTGTGTGTGTCTCTCTCTGAGTGTGTGTGTGTCTCTCTCTGAGTAGGTCTCTCTGAGTGTGTGTCTCTCTCTGAGTGTGTGTGTCTCTCTCTGAGTAGGTCTCTCTGAGTATGTGTCTCTCTCTGACTGTGTGTCTCTCTCTGAGTGTCTCTCTCTCTCTGAGGCTGTGTCTCTCTCTAACTGTGTGTCTCTCTGAGTGTCTCTCTCTCTGAGTGTGTGTCTCTCTGAGTGTGTGTATGTCTCTCTCTCTCTGAGTGTGTGTGTCTCTCTCTGAGTGTGTGTGTCTCTCTGAGTGTGTCTCTCTCTGAGTGTGTGTGTCTCTCTCTGAGGGTGTGTCTCTCTCTGAGTAGGTCTCTCTGAGTATGTGTCTCTCTGACTGTGTGTCTCTCTCTGAGTGTCTCTCTCTCTCTCTGAGGCTGTGTCTCTCTCTAACTGTGTGTCTCTCTGAGTGTCTCTCTCTCTGAGTGTGTGTGTCTCTCTGAGTGTGTCTCTCTGAGTGTGTGTGTCTCTCTCTGAGTAGGTCTCTCTGAGTGTGTGTGTCTCTCTCTGAGGGTGTGTCTCTCTCTGAAGGTGTGTCTCTCTCGCTCTGGTTCTAATCCAAGGAAATAGATGGATATCAGCTCACCCCCAAACTGCTCAGAAACATCAAAACACTGGTTTAATCAGAAGACACAATCCTCCACTGAGAAAACATCTGGTGTAAAGTGGATCTCTCAATAAAAATTGTTACATTTCCAACCAGTTAACATAACAATGTCCCACAAACAACCATGGAGTGAATGACCGTGTGTGTCTGGGGGATTATTGACCAGGACACTGGGAGAAACTCCCTTGTCTTTCGAATAGTGCTGTGGGATATTCAACGTCCACCTGAACAGGTAGATGGGATATTGATTTAATGTCTCATCCAAAAGATAGCACCCACAACAATACAGACACCCACAGTACAGCACTGGAACATCAAGCTGGACTGTGAATTCAAAGTGTGATGAGGGGCTTGAATCTAATTCTGACTCAGAGGCGAAAGTACAACTCACTGAGTCCAACTGACACACACAATATTTTCCACATTTGAATGAAAAAAGGCAGAGATCATGTGCTCAGTTGTTTAATGCTTTAAGAAGATGAAAGTTTTTATTCTCAATGAGTAATTTAAGAAATAAACACTAGTCTGAAATGAGCAGGATGTGGTCTGGACAGTGCTCTGACATTGCAAACT